AGACTAATGATCACATGCCTCTGTATGACTAACCATCCTGTGTGATGGAGATTTTTAGCATCACGTAGCTAGCTTTTTGACACTGTATTTTCCTTCATATACTCTAGGGTAGCTGCACAAATGCAGATGTACCTAATGTATTAATAAAAAAAAATGTACTTCGTAATAAAAATCAAAGAGAAAGAAAGAGAGGAAAGGAAATGAGAGAATAAGGGGGAGAGAGAGGGAAGGAAGGAGAGGAGAATGGGGATATATGTAATTATATTATATTAAGAATATGAATTACCAAATTAAGTCACGTTAGGTTCGTTTAGAATAGGTTAGGTTAGGTTCAGTTTGATTTGATCAAATTTCTATGTTACTTTTAACCAAATTTACAAAATCAAAATCATATATAATGTAATAGAAAGCTTTATCATTCCATAAGACAAAAATTAGACAAATATATAATTTCCGGAAAACTCGACTTGTTAGGCAACTTGGCCTATTGGGTACAACATATATTTGAACACGTTGTTTAACGTATTATATTCCAAGGTCAAAATAGTAGAGAATACACCGGTTGTGGTTATGGCGTATATTTGGTGTATATTACCAGTAGAGAATACACCGGTTGTGGTTATGGCGTATATTTGCTGTATATTACCAGTAAAAACTCATTACCTGGCCCGCCACGCTGTGATTTACCGCGCATAAACACAAGCTTTTATTGCATTTGTGAAGAGCAGATTTAAATTTAATCTTTATTTTTCCATTATATTTTTATAAGTGAAACTCTGCTATGCTGATGTGAGATGGAAGCTGTTACTCTCACCCGATGGCCACATTTTCCTGGGTAACCTTTACTCAAGGCTGAGTAAACTTTATCAGTGCTAGTTCAACGTTGAGTAAACTTATCTATGTTAGTTTAACGTTGAGTAAACGTTATCTATGTTCAACGTTGAATAAACTTCATTTATGTTAGTTCAACGTTGAGTAAACTTTATCAAAGTTAGTTCAACGCTGAGTAAACGTTATCTATGTTCAACCGTCGAGTAAACCTTATCAAAGTTAGTTCAACGTTGAGTAAACGTTATACTTGGATATTGTGTCCACTGGGCAGTGGGACAACACGCTTGAGTAACATTGAATCAATGTTGTTGGCGTGGGGAGGGGGGTTGGTGTGCCCATATATTTGGAGTATTTGTATACTGTGTGTGCATTATGTGTATTTGGTGTACATGTGTGTATGCTGCGAGCATGTTGTGTGTACGTAGTGTACATGTGTGTGTATGCTGCGTGTATGTTGCTTTGTAAGGTAGTTGCCCGAGTACAGTGGGCACGTGGGGGTGAGTATGTTGTACTCACATGAGGTATGACGTGGGTATGTTCTGCTATTGGCGCCTCACAATTCACAATGTTACAATATACACAACGCCAAAATTCCTGCGCTCTAGTTGACTTAAAAGCACGACAAAATGTACGCTTGTTCATCAGCCTTGACACACCAGATAGCCTATAGGTTCAGACGCTTCTGGTGAGGCAAAACCACTTCAAATTTTACGCTTATTAATTCTTCTTCTTCTTCGTCTTCTTCTTCTTCTACCTTTTCTTTTTATTATTATTATTTTAGTATTAAAGCCCTCACTTGTTGCATTTGTGAAATTTCTGTAAAGAATTACACCAAGTCTTTCACACTCTCCTGAGTGCTTTGTCAAGGTCTGAGTGCGTGGTGATGCTTTGTCAAAGCACTCAGGAGAGTGCGAAAGACTTGGTTTAAATCTTTATATAAATTTCACGAATACATAAGAGTGGGTCTTTATTCTATGTTATTATGTCTTGGAGGAGACGTTACCATTAATTATTATTATTATTATTATTAATATTATTATTATTATTATTATTATTATTATTATTATTATTATTATTATTATTCAGCTAACGTTATTAGTTCTCGGGGTTGCTATTATAATAACCCGAACAGCCTGTCGAGAAATATAATTAACTTGCAGGTTCAAAATCTCCAATGAAAACGAGCCTTATTCGTCCCGGTAAGACGGGTCAAAGTACAGAGCTCAGGGGGGGTCTAGATATGTCTGACTGAATCTTACAAGTAAACTTCATTTTCACCGGCAAATCTTAATGGAGTTGGCATGGACATTAAAACAAGGAAAACCATTATATTCCTTAATGCACTATAAGCTCTGACTCGAGCATTTCCAATGTTGACTTTGTAATTACCTTCATATTTTTTCTCTCTCTCACTTTTTAGTTTTATTGACATGTTAAGCGAGCCAAGAAATATCTTAATATACAATTTTTTTATTATGAGGGTATTGTTAAGGCAGAACAGTTGGTGGGTTGAGTCGCACGCTAGACGCTAATGTTCCACCTCTCCTCCCCCACTCTCCTTACCCACCCTCCACCACCACATGTGTGCACAAACACAGGCACGCTCGCACGCACGCACGCACGGACTACACACACACACACACACACACACACACACACACACACACACACACACACACACACACACACACACACACACACACACACACACACACACACATATCAAATGTAGATATGATAGAGCCCGATAGGCTCAGGAATCTGTGCACCTGTTGATTGACGGTTGAGAGGCGGGACCAAAGAGCCAGAGCTCAACCCCCGCAAACACAACTAGGTGAGTACACACACAGTTTCATGGTCGCGACTGGGTGGTATCTTTTCCTTTTTCTTTTCTTTCTTTGAGGGTGACTGGCGGTGTATATCTGGCCGCCGCGGGGTCGATGAGGGACTTAATGAATGGGAGGTGAGAGATATTTCACTGATTCATCAGTTAAAGCTAATTATATATATATATATATATATATATATATATATATATATATATATATATATAATCACACGTGCATCATCTTTGCAATCACCAGCAGAGTCGTAGCTGTAGAGACTTGGTAAAGTGAACCAAATTCCTGTTGACACCCCCTGTGCTACTTTATCACGCACCTTGTTATGAGTGAATGGTAAAATTAAAATGCGGCTCTGCAGCTGGAATTCTAATATATTTCACAAGGATTATAGCAGAAAATAAAATCCCTTATTTAGCAAACCCTCCGTTGGAGATTAAAAGCTTATCAGTGTATTTTCATATATTTCACAACACGAGCGAGCAAGCGAGCGCGTGCGAACACGCCCGCGCGCGCACGCACACACACACACACACACACACACACACACACACACACACACACACACACACACACACACACACACACGCGCACACACATGTGGATGTGAGAAAGGCTGTTGGTCCAGACGGGATCTCACCATGAGTATTGAAAGAGTGTGCAGAGGCACTCTGCTTGCCACTCTCCTTAGTGTATAGTAGGTCACTGGAGACGGGAGACCTACCAGAAATATGGAAGACGGCTAATGTGGTCCCAATATACAACAAGGGTGACAGACAACAGGCACTGAACTACAGGCCAGTGTCCTTAACTTGTATACCATGCAAGGTGATGGAGAAGATCGTGAGAAAAAATCTAGTAACACATCAGGAGAGAAGGGACTTCGTGACAAATCGCCAACATGGGTTCAGGGAGGGTAAATATTGCCTTACAGGCTTAATAGAATGCTACGACCAGGTGACAAAGATTAGGCAAAAAAGAGAAGGCTGGGCGGACTGCATTTTTTTGGACTGTCGGAAAGCCTTTGATACAGTCCCCCATAAGAGGCTGGAACATAAGCTGGAGAGACAGGCAAGAGTAACTGGTAGGGCGCTCCAGTGAATAAGAGAATACCTAAGCAATAGGAAGCAAAGAGTTGCAGTGAGGGTTGAGACCTCAGATTGGCGTGAAGTCGGGAGTGGAGTCCCACAGGGCTCTGTACTTGGACCTATCCTGTTTCTGATATACGTAAATGATCTCCCGGAGGGTATAGACCCATTTCTCTCAATTTTGCTGATGATGCCAAAATTATGAGAAGGATTAAGACAGAGGTGGACTGCTTGAGGCTTCAAGAAGACTTAGACAAACTGAAGGAATGGTCGAACAAATGGTTGTTAGAGTTTAACCCAAGCAAATGTAATGTAATGAAGATAGGTGTATGGAGCAGGAGGCCAGTTACAAGGTATTTGGGAGATTAAATTCTTCAAGAGTCAGAGAGAGAGAGAGAAAGACTTGGGGTTGATATCACGCCAGACCTGTCCCCTAAAGCCCATATCAAGAGGATAACATCAGCAGCATATGCCAGGTTGGCTAACATAAGAACGGCCTTTAGACACTTGTGTAAGGAATCATTCAGAACTTTGTGTACCACCTATGTCAGACCAATCCTGGAGTATGCAGCCCCAGCGTGGAGTCCATATCTAGTCAAGCATAAGACTAAACTGGAAAAGGTTCAAAGGTTTACCACCAGACTAGTACCCGGGCTGAGAGGTATGACCTACGAGGAGACACTACGGGAATTAAACCTCACGTCGCTGGAAGAAAGAAGAGTTAGGGGGGAACATGATCACTACTTACAACATTCTCAGAGAAATAGACAGGGTAGATAAAGGGGCATACGCACTAGGGGACACAGGTGGAAATTGAATGCCCAAATGAGCCACAGAGATATTAGAAAGAAATTTTTTTAGTGTGAGAGTGGTTGACAAATGGAATGCATTAGGAAGCGATGTGGTGGAGGCTGACTCCATACACAGTTTCAAGCGTAGATATGATAAGAGGCCAATAGGCTCAGGAACCTGTACACCTGTTGATTGACGGTTGAGAGGCGGGACCAAAGAGTCAGAGCTCAACCCCCGCAAGCACAGTTAGGTGAGTACACACCTAAATAAGGAAGCATTTAGATCGCTGTACACCTACGTGAGACCAGTTTTATAGTACGTCGCCCCCTCCAGCAGCCACCCTCTAATAAAACGAAACGAAAGTCAAAATGATTCAAAAGGTTGCAACGAGGCTCCAGGATAGTGAAGGATGAGATATGAAGAGAGACTGAATGAACTAAACCTGACGATGATAGGTGAGAGGAGACCTGATATAATGTTTAAAATACTCAAGGGAATTGACATAATGGAAAAAGAGGAAATGATTACAATCAATACCAGTAGAACAAGAGAGCGTGGATGGAAGGTTGAAACACAGATAATTCATAGAGATGTTAGTGTAGTGGGCAAATAGAATGACCTAAAGGAGCAGGTTGTAAACGCAAACTCCAGTCTTAATTTTATAAGTAGTTATAATAAGAGAAATAATTCAGGAGTCATTGCATTAAACAACGGCGGCTGGAAAGACGGGTTCCAAGAGCTAATGCTCGATCCTTCAGCTACAAATAAATGAGTACAAATAGGGGAGTACACACACAAGTCCGAGGGGACAGCGCTCGGGGTCGTAGAGTGGGAAAAAGTTCAGTAGCAAATCCCCTTGAAAATAATAGATTATAAACCAGTGGTTCAATATAAGATGCCTGGAAGCAAAACGTAGAAGCAAGTGGGCTTGGAAAGGATATAGAGAGAACAGAAGAGAACAACCACAGCATCATTAAGCGAGGAATGTGTATGAAGTAAATGCAGATAATCAGCATGAACATAACATTGCGTCCAAGACAGACACAACCAAAATGTATTCATAGCCACAAAAAACAGGTAATCAGATTCAAGAAAAGTGTGGGTGGGTAAACATAAATTGACAACGTTTGTGAAGTTCTAAACAACAAAATTCTAGGAAGTAGTTGGGAGGAAGAGAGAATCCTCAGTCGATCTGCAAGAAGGAAGGGACGACAGAAGAACTGAGAAGATAGATTATAAGAGGTATAGAAGACGACGGGTACTGGAGCAGGCGTAATCTCACCAGGCATGTTGAGAGAAGCATCACAGTGCTCTTCAGCACATCCCTAAACACAATGTGCTGTTGATATTGTCAAATATATTATAAAATCTCTATTGTTTAATGAAACTGAAAAAAGAAATTCCTAATATGAAAACTGGTGTTTAGCGAATCTATAGGAAGAGTTTGTACCTTAAAAACAAAATATAACTTGGCATATACCACATATGTACTTATTATTCAGCCAAATAGTGACTACAAGCAATAAGTCATATCTGTACTGTCTTGTGCAAGAGCTGGTTGGCTGTTGGTATGGAGGCCAGCCATTGGAGTCACTATACACAACTAACAGGAGACACTGAACTACAGGCCAGTGTCAATAACGGGTATTCATGCAAGGTGTTACCAGAGGAAATGAATCTTAGAACACTTAGTAAAAGAGTATTTTCCACAAGCCAGCAGCAGGGTTTCAGTAAAGGCAGATCACGTCTTAAGAAATAACTATTTGAGTTTTATGATGAATGACAAAGACAGCAGAGGGAAATATGGACTGATGCTGTTTCCCTTGATTATCAGAAAACTTTTGACTCATTCCAGTTGAAAAACCCGACACCATTTACTAATATTCAATACAATAGGCAGATAATATTGCTGTTAGGTTGTATAAGTTAACCCATAGAAAATGTAGCCTATAGTGGAATTTTCCGTCAATAGAAAACGGGATATCACTCCCACGTCGCTATTAAATTCTCCAGCTATTCTGCTGGGAATTATTCTTAATACAGCAGTCTTTGGACTGTTAACATCATAAAAACATTTCCCTTGAATTAACTGAATTATTAGTACCAAAATAGGGTAAATGTGACCTTTGAACCTGTCCTCTTAAAAAGAACGTAGCTTTTGGCCGTTTGCCCGTATCGCCGAATATGGACGTAATTTGAAAATGGAAAACAAAAATAATATAAATTTTGGATTTTTTTTTCAACAATAGTAAGTTAAGGGTCCTCTGATAGGTTAGGTGGGCAGGAAATTCTCATAAAGTTTCAAAACGTTATGAAAAACGTTAATGGAAAGTTACCTTTTCTAAGCTTGCCGAGTAAGGCGGACGACTCAAACAGAAAACGGAACAGAACGTCACTTTTGTGATTCGATTTCATTTCAAATTACGTCCAAATTTGGCCATAGCGCGCATACGAGCCAAAAGTGACGTTATTTTTAAGAGGACGGGTTGACATCTGGACAAGAGAGCCAGGGCGTCAGTGGTGGAGCAGTGTCAGCCATTCGTCGCTGGAGCAGATCAGCTCCAATAAACTCCCTTGGACGAAGTGTTATGGATAATAAATTAGTGCTTCCATTATCAACACGCAGTCATCATCTTCATACAAGGGAAGTGTCCAATTCCGAAATCTTATCTAGTCATTCCTGACCAGTAATGTTAGGTTGATAGGATGTTCCGGTTAGAACGAGGGGCTATCTTGAGATTCTTGAGATGATTTCGGGGCTTAGCGTCCCCGCGGCCCGGTCCTCGACCAGGCCTCCTACTTTGGGGGCAGCAACACAACCCAGGTTATTATTCCTTGGTCCTTATCTTATATCTTTATTTAGATTACCAATATTTCCTCTGATATAGCTGTCACACACACACACACACACACACACACACACACACACACACACACACACACACACACACACACACACACACACATATATATATATATATATATATATATATATATATATATATATATATATATATGATTACTGCTATTATTGCAAGTGGCCTTTGACAGGAACAATTGAAGAGGAAGCAAAAATTAATCCTAGTAATCCAGTACATAGTTGGAGGCCAGCCACACCCACAAAGTGGATTGACTGGCTTATTCATCCGTGTTCGTACTGGTTGACTAGTCCCACTACCATACAGGTTGACTAGGCCCACTACCATACTGGTTGACTAGGCCCACTATCATACTGGTTGACTAGGCCCACTACCATACTGGTTGACTAGGCCCACTACCATACTGGTTGACTAGGCCCACTACCATACTGGTTGACTAGGCCCACTACCATACTAGTTGACTAGGCCCACTACCATACTGGTTGACTAGGCCCACTACCATACTGGTTGACTAGGCCCACTACCATACTGGTTGACTAGGCCCACTACCATACTAGTTGACTAGGCCCACTACCATACTGGTTGACTAGGCCCACTACCATACTGGTTGACTAGGCCCACTACCATACTGGTTGACTAGGCCCACTACCATACTGGTTGACTAGGCCCACTACCATACTGGTTGACTAGGCCCACTACCATACTGGTTGACTAGGCCCACTACCATACTGGTTGACTAGGCCCACTACCATACTGGTTGACTAGGCCCACTACCATACTAGTTGACTAGGCCCACTACCATACTGGTTGACTAGGCCCACTACCATACTGGTTGACTAGGCCCACTACCATACTGGTTGACTAGGCCCACTACCATACTGGTTGACTAGGCCACTACCATACTGGTTGACTAGGCCACTACCATACTGGTTGACTAGGCCCACTACCATACTGGTTGACTAGGCCCACTACCATACTAGTTGACTAGGCCCACTACCATACTGGTTGACTAGGCCCACTACCATACTGGTTGACTAGGCCCACTACCATACTGGTTGACTAGGCCACTACCATACTGGTTGACTAGGCCACTACCATACTGGTTGACTAGGCCCACTACCATACTGGTTGACTAGGCCCACTACCATACTAGTTGACTAGGCCCACTACCATACTGGTTGACTAGGCCCACTACCATACTGGTTGACTAGGCCACTACCATACTGGTTGACTAGGCCACTACCATACTGGTTGACTAGGCCCACTACCATACTAGTTGACTAGGCCACTACCATACTGGTTGACTAGGCCCACTACCATACTGGTTGACTAGGCCACTACCATACTGGTTGACTAGGCCCACTACCATACTGGTTGACTAGGCCCACTACCATACAATAAGATAAGGCCTCCCTATTTTAATTACTAATATATGTAGTCTAATACTATAGTTTATGTTAGTCAATTTTGATTGACTACATATATCATTTTAATTAATATCCCCCCCTTAATGCGCAAGGAGATCGATTTGTGAGAATTTGCAGAAATAAAATCCACTTAAACTATCATACAATTTGCTATCGAAATATATAAATTAACAAATATAAATTCATATAAATTAAATATAAATCTCAATTTATATTTAATAAATTAAATATTCCCCACAATTCCTGTATGAAAGGCTCCTATGGATATAAAGTAAATAGAATTTGGATTAAGACCTGGATAAATAGTAGTTTTTCAATAGGTTGGTTGATGAATGGAACAAATTACTGGGTAGTATAATAGACGTGGAATCCCTTATGTGTTTCAGGCATCGGTTAGGCTTACACATGAATGCATTTGGGTGGAGGAGGAAGATAGAGATGTGAGCAGGTACAAGACCGTGGCTTATTGATCGGTGTGGGTACTCAGCCTATTCCTGATGTATGTGAACGACTTGACAGGAAATAAATGATCTGTTTCCTAGTTTGCAGATGATACCAAATTGATGTGGAGAATTAGAAACGATGGTGACTGCGGGAGACTTCAGGAGGATCTAGCTGTGCTCCTGTGGTGCTCATATCATCTTCCTTTAACGCTGAGAAATGCAGAGTAATGAGGACAGGTGAGGCGGGAGAGATGACTTGAAAGACTATACGGGTTGGAAGAGAAGCTGTTTCCAGAAACAGTGAAAAATAAGGATCTGAAAATATAGTAGTAGGCATCCATCAGTCTCAGGAGACTATGGAGTTGCGGTCTAGTTGTCAGTCTGGAGTGGCCTCACCAGGGCGCAAAGCCAGGGTAGGTTGATTCGGGGGAGAAGCTGTTACCCAGGCAGCAGGTCCCCCCTCTCCACGGAAAATATATATACTGTATATAGCACCATACCTGTCGCCCCTGGAACACATTATCAAAACAACGTCTACAGCATACACCCAGCTGGTCAATATCTGGATAGCCTTCAGGAACCCAGGCACAGGATGCGATATTCGTCTTCGTAGGACCAGTTCTTGTAAGACCCGAGGAAGCATAAAATTAAAATAGAAAACGAACAGAGGTACTAGACTAGTCTTATCCTAGAGCTCGAACTCACCACCGTGGAGAAAAAATTAATCAGGGAGTATATGATAACGTACAAGTTGTTAAGGTATACTAACAGGGTGGGCAGTAAGGCAATTAATGTTCAAAATGAGGAATGAGGCAGGACCAGAGGACGCGGGTGGAAGCTGGA